AAAGAAGAGAAATCGTTTTCGACAGTGGTATTTTCACGGGCTATTGAAAAAAGCAACAGAAATGACCTGCACTCGTACACCTTGGATATAAACGAGGTACGACTGTACAAACCTTACATCTGTCGTGCAAACTTCAAAATACAACATTTATAATGCATCTTCGGCCAATCTTTCTTAACTAAAAAAATTCTTCGAACAATCATCGAAATTTCTAAAAAGAAAATTCTTAAAAAAGACATCACGTCGAATAAAACAGTCAATTGCTTTTATAGAAAATCGAACATGTGCTTTTCATTATATAATATATTACGATTAAATAATCCAGTACTTGATATTACTACGGTACACGAATTTAAAGAAGTATTACAGTTGTCTGCTACGAATATAAAGTGTTTATATATTTACTCATTAATTTAAAACTTCGCAGATGCATTTAAAAATAAATATATATTTTTTTTTGTCTTTTAATTGCGACTGGAATCCTTTTTATCGCTTTTGTTGTGTGCTCAACCAATCAAAACAAAAGTGGCAGTGGCGGCGGCGATGGCGACGGCGAAGGAATAACCGAAATTCGGACAATAAATTATTACGTAATCCCCAAAAATTGCACTTGTTTCTTTTTTTGGATAATTTACACTAACAAAAATGTATGAAACTAGCCACATTAACTTATGCATTCACAGCAGCCAACATTTGGAGATTACCCAATAAATATTTAAATGTAATTAAAAGTAATTAAATCTTACCTATTTTATATTTTATTTACGCGGAACGAAATAAGACCATTTTAAGGAAAAGATAATTTACTGGTTTTTTTATCTTTTTTGTTCTTTGGTCACGATTTAACTTGTGTGTAAAAAAATAAATAATAATTATTTGTCTCAAAGCATATTGTTCTCGCTTGACATTTCTCACACTAATTTTTTATTTTTACCGCAGACTCTCCTTTAAAATAAAGCAGAGCCGGCCTCCTCCTCCTCCTCATTTTACACGTACACGCCCTTTTGCGTATCAAAATGAACAGAGCATACAACCGTCACCCTATACTCATATCAAACACCTTATCCCGACGAAAGCCAAACCAATTAATTTTAGTCTTAGTCCTCACATTCGTTCTAGTACTCTTTATTCTTAAATTCTATCTTCAGAATGAGGGAAACTCAATTGGTAAAGGCAAATTTTTCATACATAAATTTAGCATATCTACAACGTATATAATGAAGGAATATTGATTTTTCTAATCAAAATTCCATTTTCGTAGGAATGTGCGTCACGCTTAATTGTTTCAGCGATAGAATGAATAATCAGTCGATAATAAGAAAAGCTGATCAATCATCATTAAACGATGAAGGAAATTTAAATTCTACAGTTCCCACAAAAATAACGACTGCTACATCAGAGCATCTTGATCAAGGTCAAGAAAAACCAAAAGAGAAAGAAGGAGAAAAAGAAACCAACCATAATGACACAATGGATAATAATACCATCCAAAATGCTAGTAATTCATATGTAGACCTTACGATTCAAAGAGATTACCCATTCACAATCGCTACAGCAGCAAGTGAAAACCATTTTTGTGTGCTTCAAAGTTGGATCTACAATGCACAAAAAATATTACACGGGTTAAATAATGAATCTTTTATCCCACGAATAATAATTTACGACTTGGGCCTCCTCAATTACCAACGATCTATTCTGAAATCTCTTCACACCAAAGGTTTTTTCACAGAGCTGCGACAATTCAACTACACAAAATACCCCGACTTCTGGAATGTTAACAAGGGTCGTGGCGAATATGCATGGAAAACCGGGATTGTAGCAGAAATTGCGAAAGATTTTCCGGGAATAGTTGTGTGGTTGGATTCGGGGTCGATATTTAAACAAGAATTTTTAATAAATCTTCAGAAGTATCTAGATTCTCGCGAGGGATTTTTGTCTGGCAAGTCCATTGATCGGATACCTACGTGGACTCATGCTGGGACATTTAAATATTTTCATGTGAAACCAGCTCGATTCCGTAATTACAGAAATTGTAATGGTGCAATGATAGTTTTTGACACTACAAAAGTCCAATCACTAATAGACGCCTGGTATAAATGCGCATTAGTAAAGGATTGTATTGCGCCAGAAGGAAGTAATCGATATAATCATCGTCAAGATCAAGCAGTTCTCTCGTTATTAGCAGCGATGGAATCACGAAGATGCTCCGAAAAACCAGAATTTTATGGTGTAGTTACGCATCAAGATCATCAATGTGTAAAACATATATCCAATTTTGAAAAAATCCATCCTGATCTACGATGGGTGCTCACTGATGAGGAAATCAAGGAGTTTAAAGAGTATGCAATGAAAAATCTAGATTCAGATGAGTTTTATAATATTTTGGAAAATTACAACTGATTCACATTATAAAATCTGTATTTGGAACCTTTCATAGCGTGTCATTGTCCCACATGACTTTTGTCATCTTTATTACTTATTGTATTATATAATATTTTATCATTCCTTGTAGTATAGAGAGGGAATTAGATCTTTCACATGATACAAAATAATCTCATAATAATCACTTCCTTAGATAGTGATATGCAAATCGAAATATACCACGGGTTTTTTGTATTTTTCAAATGTCCTTTACTACTAATTATTACATCCTGTACAATATAGCATGTTAGAAAGAAGCTCGTATTAGAAAGAAATAGCTAAATTAATTTTTATGAATGTATAATAAAGAAAAAAATAATTATGCTATTTTTATAATTTGATATTAGGAACTTCATCCAATACATTTACTGGTATATTAAGTGAAAGATATTATATAGATACAGGGATCCAGCTCTCCATCCTCTGCATGAATGTTTATAATAATAAAATCTTATCATTATTAATATCGCTTCTTTGATTCGAATATATCAATATATTCGGCACCGACATAAATATATAAAAGCTTGTACATATATTAATTTATTGCTGAGCACATTGAACTCCATGACCATGACTCTCCTCGTCATCATCATCTTCAACACCGTTTGCCAGTATATGTGCAGCTTTTTGTTGTTCATCGATCGATAAATCTTGTAATGTCAAATCTTCTATACTATCATTCTGTAAATCAAGATCAAGTGTTGGACGTTTCGGAAGAATTTCTTCAAGTTTAGCGATGTTTGCTGGTGATGTCCAATGTGGTTCGGGGAATTCAATATCGAATTTGATCAATAAATTTCCATAATTATGATGACGGTATGAAGGCATACCATAACCAGCGAGAGCTTTATATTGACCTATATTAAAAATACATAATATTCATTTATTATATTATTCTAATAATAATCAATGTAATTAAATTAAATTAATTAATTACCTGGCCTTAAAGATTCGCCAGGCTGAATTGACACCAAAAGAACTCTGTCGTCCAAATGTTTAACGGAGAATTTGCCACCAGCTAATGCAGTCAATAGATCAATTTTCGCCGTATAGAATAAATCATCGCCCCTTCGAGTGAATCGATCATGGGGCTTCTCATGAAGCTCAATAATTACGTCTCCAGGTTCTTCTCCAGGCTTCTGATCAGCTTCGCCAGCGAACGTAATTTTTTGTCCATTTCTCATTCCTTTATCAATATGCACTTCTAAGACTTTTCTTTCATTTACTGTCTTTTTAGCATTACAAGTTTTACATTTGTCATTTTCACGAATTACAGTCCCTTCGCCATTACAATCATTACAATATTGTTGGATTTGCTGTAACATAGGTCCTAATTGTCGTACAATCAGTCGTACACCTGTTCCATTACATGTATCACATTTTTTCACCGCTCCTTTCTTTCCACCAAGACCTTCACATTTTTGACAAATGACCGTCTTATTAAGCGATAGTTTAGTGGTTTTGCCTGAGTATAATTCTTCAAGAGAGACTTTAATGCTATGATTCAAATCTTTGCCTTTTTTCGGTCCAGTCCGTGCGGATCGAGATGCTGGGAATCCGAAACCGCCTCCGAAAAAGCTACTGAAAAGATCTTCAGGTGATACACCACCTTCTCCAACTCCTTCCTCACCAAATCGATCATATTTGGCACGTTTCTCACTATCAGAAAGAATATCATATGCATGTGCGATTTCTTTGAATTTATCAGCTGCATCTGGATTCTATTTAATTCAATTCACCACAGGAAATCAAGGAGTTTAAAGAGTATGCAATGAAAAATCTAGATTCAGATGAGTTTTATAATATTTTGGAAAATTAC